TTTCCTTTTTCAAAGTGCGATGAAGTGGGTTTACACAAATTATTTCTTAGTAATTCCGGTGGGGTGGGGGCAATATCTGATAACATAGAAACATAAATAAGGCATTTTCAGAATTTCATTATATCATGTTGGTGTCATAATTCTCCTTCTAAGAAGAGGGAAATGTAGGGTAAGGTGTTTACCTTAAATATTCCAATAGAATTGTCTACTACTAAACTTTGGACCATACAGCAAATAATCAAAAACTCTGCTCGCAAGATGACATCCTGTTTACGTTTATTTTTTTTATCATAATACGGTAGCTGCAGAAATACTGACGGACAATTCAAAAGAGCCTATTTTGTTTATTGTTCTAAATTACGAAGTGAAATTTGAAACTTTTCATACTATTTTGTATTTACGGCATAATTTTCTTTTTAACCTGTGCTGGATTAAAGCCTGTGCAGGCCCATAGGCTGTCGAAATTTCGGGGGCCTCCTCGCAAATTGTCTCCTAAGACGTTTTTAATTTTACCGACCCTAAAAGGCGTGGGGCTCATTGGACGGTGCCTACTCTGCCTATTTTTAACATTTCTTTTATATTTGAATATGATGCTGAGGGAAAAACTACGAAACGAAAAGTATCATGTAGATTTTAAGTACTTTGATTTTTTGTGCTTTATTTACTAAACAAATTCCTAATAGACTTTCCAATTGCAATAGAATTGCGTTTTTTCTTCTTTAAATGCTGACAAAATTGAGAAGCGAAATTCTATTCCTGCAGAATCATTGTGTTCAGCGTGCATTTGAACAATGACAAGAGCCCAGAGTCTTTAGTAGGCTTTATAAAGTAATTCATTTCAATGATGTTGTGTAGATTACATAAATGCTTGTTTTAGGGTTTATTTATTGTTTTCTATCTTCATTTGTATTTGATTGTATAAAAGTGTCATTTGTCTCATTCGGAAAGCTTTTACACCAGTATGCTTTATGTTCAAGTTGGCCAAACTCTTTTGAGCAACCTTATGTGATCAAATTGTTTCAATGTTGTTTTTCTCCTTGTTTTCTTTTTAATCTTTACCTTTATGATGATGCAGGACCACATTGCTCAACTCTTTATACTAGATTGATCTCTGAAAATCTTGACTTTATTTCCAGATTTGCTTGTGAAATTTGAAGATGCTTTTATCGTAATCGTACTTAATAACAGATTAGCATCACTTGCGCGATCTGTCAGATTTGACAAATTTCTGGTGATTCGGTTTCGAGTTGTTGTTTCAAGGTTTAATACAATAATTGCGTTATTAACAGCCATGTTTAATGGCAATCATCGTTTGTACATATGCGAAAGTCCTTTTTCACAAATATTTTTTTTAATATCATATCTGGTCAAATTCTGTTACTGCTCCAGTGGCCTAAGTACTTCAAGCGTCTGCATCAGATGCGGGAGGTTGAGGGTTTGAACACCGGCAGAGTCATACCAAGGACTTATAAAAAATGGTACTAGTAGCTGCCTCGCTTGGCGCTCGGCATTAAAAGGTTAGTTTGGGCCTGGTCGGCCAAATATTGTCTACTTTTAGAAACAATGCCATATTTGATGATCTGTTTCATTTGTAAAATATATAACGCATTTCTTACCTTGATGCTTTCTGTCAAATTTGGTTTAAAATCTGTTTCTGAGAAGCCACTTTACTTTAAAGTATATCTGTCAACAATGATCATATTTATTGGCACATAAACATTGTCTATACAAAACAAAAGTATAAAAACCCTTAATGCGAAATTGCTATCTGGAAAATTTGGACAAGCTCTATTGAAGTGATTTTGAGAATAAATTCTTTAAAGATATTTTACAGCTTTATGACGTCGGATTTCTGTAAATGTCAGACGATCATTATAATAAATTATTTGTAGTCGTTGATATATATTCTCTTGCAAATACTAATTAAAACAGAAGAGGTAATTGGTTAAGAATCTAAGTCATCCTCATGTACCAGCCACTACAAATAATTTGCTTTCGGTATCGTCTTTCTTTACAGCAAACGTTAATAGTACTGTATTTGACTTGTTCCAAACATATCTTATTATAAATACGAAAGCTTCACATAACATAGTATTCACAATTTGATTTTTCTACTCAGTTTCTGCTAATTTTTAAAACAAATTCTTCATTTTTAACCACCAAATTGAGTTTTGGGTATTGACTTTTTCTGACTTCTGCCTCGATCATTAGATTATCGTTAATTTATTAATATATTCATCTCTCTCTCTTTCTCTCTCTCTCTCTCTCACACACACACGCGCGCGCGCTCACACACACACACACACACACACACACACTTACTTATTTTTTCCCGAATCGTGTATGTTTATAATTAGTTATACGTAATCATTTTAAGTTATGACCGCTACGCATATAAATTTCAGATCAATTGTAGGGGAAAGGGGGTGACTCGTTAACTGTTGACATATTTTGGCATAAGCAGGTGCTTTCATTAAAAGAACTATATATATATATATATATATATATATATATATATATATATATATATATATATATATATATATATATATATATATATATATATATCAATAAAGATTAAACAAAATATAAAAAATTCACGATTAATTGAGTTCAAATGAACATTTACTTAATACTACTAATATTCACAAGATCAGTTAATAAGTCCATAAGTGACAAATAAAATACATGCAATTTTTTCACTATCTTATTACTGAAGTTTGTAGTATATCATCGATAAATCTCAATATTTTCTTTGCCGTTACTGTATCACGATATAAACCCCAACCATTCAAACAGAACAATAGTAGAATGAAACAAACTGACATGACATAAACCGTCCAAAAAAAAAACGTTTTTGTTGTATGTCTGTCCCTTTGAAGAAGTAAACAAGGCCACTAATAGCCTAAATATACAATGTCTCCTGGTTCCTATTATATCTTTCTTATTATCTGTTTACAAACACGTCCTTCAAACTGAACAATTTTTTTTGTCTATCGCAAGACAGCAATTATTTATCCTCGGATGTTGTTTTCGTGTAACACTGTATGTACTTTTTTTTGGGTGGTGGTGGTTGTTTCACCATTGATAACTGTCCCAGCTTTATTCGCTTATCTTATAATATTGATTAATCTACCAACCATACAAGTATATACCATCGAATAACCTATCCTTTCGTTTAAATATAAGCATGTACCTACATTGACATGTTTTATCCAGTCAAGAAATTCAATGAAAAAGCGTCATTATATTCTTTAGATATTCAATTTACAAGGAAGATATCCGAGAACACACGAATACAAAACTATACCACGTGACCTTGTAGCGGCTGTGCAACTTGAGCTTTTGCAGTTCTAGGTAAAACTTATATCTATGTAAAGAGAATTACAACATAGCATGCTGTTCCCAGACCTCGAGTGAAGTCATATTTGTCACGATGTACCTAAAAGTGTTCTCAAAGAGAACATCACGTCTGAACGGTTGCGTTCTTAAATAGAGGAATTATTTTTTATTTATTGTCATGTGAATCTCTGGAAGAGTACAGTAATGACAAAACTTTTAAATTTTTTTGTATCGTATCAATGTTTAGTGAAAATTTACAAGAAAGACATGTGAGAAAGCTTGCCAGTAGCTTTTCCTGTCGGATTTTGCTCTAAAGCTGCGACAGTCGAAGCGTTTACTTTGGCTTCTCGCGAGTCGGTGTTTTTTCCGCGGATTTCCCGGTTTCTTCCTCCACCATTAATACTGGCCACCATGTATAGCCTATCATGTGCTGAAAAATGGCGTTAATCCACAACATAAGAATAACAATAACAAGAAAGAAAGAAATGAAAAACTAGTTATGATTACTTAATAATAATGTATCGAAGAATGATATTCTGGTGCAATAACGATGCCAATGCCTTTTCCAGATCGTATTTTCTGAAAATTATGCTTGTATTATTTACATGGTGGTCTTGTTTTGCGTGTGTGTGTGTGTGTGTGAGAGAGAGAGAGAGAGAGAGAGAGAGAGAGAGAGAGAGAGAGAGAGAGAGAGAGAGAGAGAGAGAGAGAGAGAGAGAGAGAGAGAGAGAGAGAGAGAGAGAGATTAATCGATGGCGAAGTTTTAGAATTTGGTAAGATAGTCTTTCTCCGTCTGTACATAAAAGCAATCGAAATAGCTGTACAAGTGAACTATCGTTTACACAAATAATGCAAATGAATTACAAAATGTCACCGACCTAGTGTTCTTGAAAACAAAAACAGTTGGGTAATTTCTAAAATAGTTCTTCAAAATTGTGGATACTACGATTGTGGCCTAATTTAGGTTTCTGTTTGTCAGCTGTGTCAGTGCGCTGTGCAAAGAAACGTTGTTTCCATTTTCAGTTTCAAGACAGTCAATACATATCAATGCCGTTGCACGTAACAAAGAAACGAAACTAATTAAAAGGGAGGTAATGCAGTCAACAATAATCTTTCCCTTTATACACATTCGCGCTAATTTTTTAAGGGAATTAAGATGGAGTGTATAGTACTAGAGAAGCGGAGTTGGAAATTTATTGTATAACTCGAGAAAACTGCGTGAATAATTTAGGTATTGAAATTTTCCTACATTTTACCTTTAAACAATATATTTAATTTAAACACCGATTAAAAAAAAACCCTTGAGAGTTAGGACTATACGTAGTTAATCATTTAAATACAAAGAGGAAAGACCATTGCAAACATCTAATGTAATGAAACCTAAATGATTCCATAATCAATTGATATCAGCAGTATCAGTGTGTGTAATTTGAATTTGTAACGTAACTTTAAAAACTTTTCAGTCATATCGTTATGATGTCTGCAGTGTGGAAGTTTATAGTAATGTCTAGCAATGTGGCATCACGCCGAAGACACGTAGCATAATGTCTACCCAGTCACATTATCCTGACACCAGGTCTACCAGTCCTATGAATGACCTATTAATGCTGGTCGCCTACAGAGGCAGCTGTTAGTTTCAGTTTTAAAAGTCTTTCGTATGGCCCGGCCGGGGTTTGAACCTGCGACCTCGCGCATCTTAGGCGGAAGCTCTAATCACTTCAACCACCGGAGCGGTCGATACAAAGAGGAAAAAACATTGCAAACTTGTTATGTAATGAATTCCAAAAAGATTCCATAACCAATTGATGTCAGCAGTCTCAATTTCTAAGGCAAAAATTGATTATTTATGTGATGCTTATCACTATTTGACTATGAGCTCTAAGAAAATGACAAAGGTATGATGGATATATACTCAAGAAAGCAAAAGCCCTATGCTTAAAAATCATCACGTACGTATGCAAGTACGTACGTACACACGCGCACACGTAGGTAGGTAGGTAGGTAGGTACGTACGTACGTACGTACGTACGTATGTATGTATGTATGTATGTATGTATGTATGTATGTATGTATGTATGTATGTATGTATGTATGTATGTATGTATGTATGCATGTATGTATGTATTGCATTGATCTATATTGATCCTTGATGCATATCCATAAAACCAATAGTTAAATTATTTATAGGCTTTCATCATTCAGTTTTATACATGCTCTGCATCTAAATAACATATTCTCCACTGAACTGATAGTTTGATAAATTATTAATAATAAATTACCAAGTCAGAGTTGTCCAAGACATTAATGGTTTTTAAACGTTAATCATTTTGATTCAATATATTGAAACAAATATTTGTTACACCATAAAGGTATTTACACTAATTTCCTTGATTACAAAGGTCAGTGGACTTTGTAATTTCTCCCAGTCAATGAAGAAGTCACTTGAATAACCTGCAGAATTGTGAATGTTTTTATTTCCGTATGTGGACATGATGAGAAAGTGAGTTCATTGGTTGGTTGGATCGTGTAAAGAACAAACGCAACAAGGAGGTAACGTCCGCAATGTATTATATTTAAATCTAAAGTGAAGCTATTATCATTTCTTACTAGGACAGAATTTTGAATATTCGTTTAATATTTACTGGTGCCGGAAGTGTAAGTGGTGTGGTGATGATTAATATATGAAATGTTTACTAACATTTATTCTCCTACACCTCATCGCATCCTTCAATCCTTACGTTACGAACAATCCTCTCCATTGTTTAGCTTGAACAGTTTGTTTTATTTACAGTTTATTTTGTTTTATTTACAGTTTGTTTTATTTAAATGCGAATTTTTAAAGACAAAATAAATTTATTGGGCTTAATCAATAATAGTCGTATGATTACATCCGTCCTCAGCTTTATCAGACCTGGTGATGATTGTCGTTATGTTTGTCGCTAACACTATTTACCACTGTACCACTTCTTTTCGGGAATAAATTACAACCAGTCTGCTAAATGAATCACTAACTACTTATCTTTACAAAAATGGTGTCCAATAGTTGTTGCAACGCTAAATTTTGTTTGTACAAAAGGTAATTTTTGTTTTTCCATAAACAGGATAGGGCAAAAAGTCAATTCTGCCTCTACCAAGGGTTCTGAGAACGAACAATGCGCCAGTCTAACAAAATGTCAATACATTTGATGTAACTAACAGACGCCACATCATCGCCTTCCGAAATCACTGAAACAATGCATTGCCCTAAGGATAATTACGTTTCATGAAACAAGCTTACACAGAGAGAGAGAGAGAGAGAGAGAGAGAGAGAGAGAGAGAGAGAGAGAGAGAGAGAGAGAGAGAGAGAGAGAGAGAGAGAGAGAGAGAGAGAGAGAGAGAGAGAGAGAGACCCGATTTAAAACATTCATGGCATAAATTTTGAACCATGCTTACAGATCATTTTCAATCATGAGCATGGGCATAGTTCTTTTTCTTCCGAACAGTAAAACCGTTAAACGAGTGCTAGGTTCTTCATGACCTTAAATGTTGTATCTTTCAGGTTTTTTTGTTTTTTGTTTATGCATTATCCCTTGTTTTAAAGAAGGTATTGTTTCTAAAATACTATGCAATCATCACGCCTGATGATTGTCGTTAACTTAAACTTGAATATGTATGTATGTATGTATGTATGTATGTATGTATGTATGTATGTATGTATGTAGGTAGGTAGGTAGGTAGGTAGGTAGGTAGGTAGGTAGGTAGGTAGGTAGGCAGGCAGGCAGGCAGGCAGGCCGGCAGGCAGGCAGGCATGAACGTACGTATGTATGTATGTAGGTACGTACGTACGCATGCATGCATGTATGTATGCATGTCCTATCATCTATCATCATGAAACCTATATTAACAACAAGGTATTATGTTTGTATGTACATCAACATACTATAGAAAGAAACAAGTTTTACGATACATAGCCCTGGTTTTAGGACAGGTGTGAACACGAATTACAGTTTCCTACCTAAATACCGATCAAATATCCTACGGGGAACGTGATCTATCACCCTTCCACGTAAGCCCGAATTGTTGGAATAGCATTTGACTTAGTATATATATAGTTTGTGGAAAAACCCTTCTGTTACCACTGAACTATTAATAGCGATCAAATTACAATGTCAGCAGGTTTTCGCTCTACGTTGATGAAGATAAAAATGTATAATGCACCTGCACTTTGTTTTCAAGCTTGCATATACTTTGTGATTGCATTAGCTAGATATGGTTCGCCAATTTTAAGCTTGTTTCTTTCGTTGGAAGTGTGGTAAAGGAAATTTAGAACAAAGTCCCCTCAGCCCAAAATCCCCCTAAGTAAAGGGAAGATAGGAAACAATCCTCTCCGGGTCTAAGGCGGTCCAAGGTATTTTAAATTATTTATTTCGTCACAAATATACTGTCCCATTTTAAAATAGGATAGGGGAGAAAAATAAGAAGTGTTACATGTCATCAAAATAACTAATATTTAATTTAATTATGGAATTTAATGTTCAAACAAAATATTAAATTAGTTTCTAAGTACTTCCCAAAATATAAAAAGTATGTTAAATACGGTAAACTCAGTACTAATGAAATAAGGTGACAAAGCACTTACGCATGGAATTAGAATTTAGACAAAAACAATCATTATGCATCTTGATCTACTTTTGTCTGATTTAAAAAGACCAAACTTTGACTGGAGGTGGATTGTGTCCGATCATTTATTTTGCTGCTGGAACGTTGCTCAAGTAGTATTTTGTCCTTGGGGGATTTTGTATGTGAGGTTTACCCCGTTGAAACGTGATGATCCTAATTTCAAAATTCTCTAAATGTAATACCCTCAACAGAATAATTTCAAATAAGCACGCGTTATTGGCCGATTGGTTCAAGATGCTCGCCGTAACTAATCATTGACATCTCGCCTCTGTCCGCGTGTCTTTGAGTATTGGGCTCGGCTAACGTGGATATGTGAGACAGATTGTCTTTTCCTTGTGTTATTTGTTGTTCCCAACTTCTTTATCCACCAAAGATACAACTACAAAAATGTATACATGGACCTGGAATATGCATGCGACTATACAAAGCAACGTGTTTTACGATATATCCTTGGTACTTTTCACGACACGTGTGAATAAGAATTAAAATTTCTTACCTTTTTATCTGTACCAAATGCCTTAGTGGTAACCGAGGCCCGAATTGTTTGAACATCATTTCACTTAGTTTAAACAAAATATGTGGAAAAACCATTCTATTACCATTGAACTATATTAATAGCAATAAAATTGCTTTGTGAACAAATTTTCCTTCAAATTCGATGAATATAAATATCTATTGCATTTATCATTAACTGTCATTCTATTACCATTTAACTATTAATAGCAATAAAGTTGCTTTGTAAACAAAATTTCTTTCAAATTCGATGAATATAAATATCTGTTGCATTTATCATTAAATGTAACATCAAATATAATTTGCGATTGTATTTCTTTTTTTTTTGTAACTACCGATTTGGCTTCCCAAATTTTTGTCTTTATTTTGCTTGGAAGTGTTGACACACACACACATACACACACACACACACACACACACACACACACACACACACAATACGTCGTTTATCTACAAAAGTGAATCCAACACAACACTCATAACCGTTTGATAAATGTGAAACATTGACTGGAGGGTGAAATTGTTATATTTTTCATTTTGCTGGAAGGGGTTTCCTTCAAGTATGATTTTGTCCTTGGGAGATTGTGGCGAGGGGTGGGCAGGTCTTTGGAAAGTGATGCTTCTTATTTCATGATATTAAAATTGCTCAAATCCAATATATATATATATATATATATATATATATATATATATATATATATATATATATATATATATATATATATATATATATATATATATATATATATATATATTGGATGTGAGCAATTATATATATATATATATATATATATATATATATATATATATATATATATATATATATATATATATATATAAAGTCAAGACGCATTTTGCAGTTATCCGCTTCTTTTTTCACAATATGTATGTATGTATGTATGTATGTATGTATGTATGTATGTATGTATGTATGTATGTATGTATGTATGTATGTATGTATGTATGTATGTATGTATGTAAAGACTCCACCATACAACATTTGTTTGAGGCACCAGGCAGGTGTCTTCCCCGTATCGCGAAAAATATAAGATTTTCGTTTGGTTGTACCCCCTAAGGCACCATATACGGACCTGCCTTTTCGGATTAATCTCGGAGAAGATTTACCGCAGGTGCGGACTCGAGTTACGATTTATTATATAATGACCTGGATCAAAGGTTATGTAACAAAACCTGCACTCCTTTCTTCGGAATCCCAAACAGACCTTACGCCAGATAGTAGATCGCTCCGCCTTCCGAATCACGTGATATGACTTATTAACTGGCAATAAACAGCATTTTGACGAAGAAGTATGCTTTAATGACATGTTTTATTAAAATTGATTTTTATTCTAAAATGTAAATTAGCAAGTTGCATAAATCATACTGCTGTAGACAACACATATTTGTAGTCCAGCTTCTGGTAAAAAAAGCCTAGTCTATTTCAATAAATCAGGTAAAATTAAAGTCTAAAGCGGCTAGAAAACAATATAAAATCAGCGTGGCAGAGCAAATATGGCGGATGTAAACAATGCCTGTAAGTCATTAGGACAATTTGATTGT